AAGATGTATTTGGGTATATTTTAAGAGATTTGATAAACTATTGTTGAATATACTTGATGGGGATGAAGAGGAAGTTTCTCTTTTGAGAAACCCTGATTTAGAAGATCCATTTTTGCCTGTCCCCAATAATTGTAGCCAGTTTCTGTTTTCCTTTGATCATTTTTATCATTGCTACTAGCAGAAGAAAACTAATGTTACTGCTGCCCACAGTGGATAATCAGTTGGAGAAATGCAGAGGGCTTCACAGATCATAAAGAGTACAACATGCAGTTATTTAACCTGTGAGCTGCCAATACAAGTAGTCCTTGACTTACAGTGACTGTTTGAAATTATGCCAAAATTTGGCCTCTTGGCAATTCACCCGCCCTACGACTGACTGGGATGTCAGAAAGGGAAGTATTTCTTAATACTGTGCAAATATTATTGGATTTGTATTAATATATCATGGTTTATAACCATAACAAAAGGAAAAAATAGAAAAAAGCGAAGCATTCAAAACTCACAGAAACAGCATTTTAGCCTTCCAAATTGCATCACAAAAGTTCAGATTACTGAATAACAACTTGGAAATTACTCAGTAACAACTCAGCTTTATGTTTATGCTTTAAACTATAAAGCTTTGCATTTTAATTACATTACCTATATTAACTATTTTACAGACTACCAGTATTTCCATTATCACCATAAACTCTTTTGGGAAATATAATCGTTTCACACTTAATCGAGAAAGTAAAAAAACACCCCGAAAGAAAGCACTCTTTTCTTGGCTGTGGGAATCTTTTTGAAAATAATGCAAACATAAGAAGGCTCTCTTCCTGACTATATTTTTTAGCACTTATGCTTAATAAATTAGACATGCATCTAATTTCATTAATTTCAGGCAGGATGTATACGTATGTTTCTTAATTAACTTAATAATAAAACTACCACTTCACATAATAATAAAACCACTAGAGCTGTGAAGCAGCAGTGGTTACAATGCAGTATTGCAAACTAATTCTGCTCACGTTGGCATGAGTCTGATTCTTTCAATCCTGACCAGCTCAAGGTTGACTCAGCTTTCCATCCTTCCACGGTCAATAAAATGAGGGCCCAGATTGTTGTGGGCAGTACACCAACTTTGTAAACCACTTAGAGAGGGTTGTAAAGCACTGTGAAGCGTGCTATTACTATTTCAAACACAACTCACCAAAGACGGACTATACAGTGGTGGCTAACCTTTTGGGTCTCCTCTGTCAAAAATTGTTCACACACTCTCGTGCCAGCACCCAGAAGGCAATGCACACACCCCCGCCCCCTGTGCATGCATGTGCAATCCCCCCTCCCCCACCCGCTTTCCTGCACTGCGCTTCCCAGCTGATTTTCGGCCAGTTTGGGGCCTTTTTCAGCCTCCCAAAAGCTTGAGGAAGGCCTTTGGCAGCCTTTGCAGCCCCCCAACCCTCAAGGCCTGTTTGGTCACTTCCGGTATTACCAGAAGTGATGAAACGGGCCTATTTTTCAGCCTGCAAAGGCTGCCAAAGGCCTTCCTCAAGCCTCTTGGAGGCCAAAAAAAGCCTCAAACTGGCTGAAAATCAGCTGTGAGGCACACGCATGCGCAGTAAGATAGGTTTATTTTATTTTATTTATTTGATTTGTCTATTGATTACAATAGGTATAAGTATAAACATGAGTAAGAATACAGAAAATAGGTACAAATAAATAGGGACAATAGGACAGGAGTGGTAGGCACGATGGTGCACTTATGCACGTCCCTTACAGACCTCTTAGGAATGGGGTGAGGTCAGTAATGGTTAGTTTGAGGTTAAAGGAATGGGGGTTAGAGGATGTAACAACAAAGTCAGGTAGTGCATTCCAGGCATTGATCACTGTTGCTGAAGTCATACTTTCTGCAATCAAGTTTGGAGTGGTTTATACTGAGTTTGTATATGTTGTGTGCTCTTGTATTATTGCGGTCGAAGCTGAAGTAGTCATTGACTGATAGGACATTATAGCAGATAATTTTGTGTACTACGCTTAAGTCCAACTGTAGGCGGCGTAGTTCAGGGTTGTCCAAGGCCAAAATCTCAAGCCTGGTGATATAGGGTATTCTGTTGCGAGCAGAGGAGTGTAGTACTCTTCTCGTGAAATACTTCTGGACTCGCTCAATTGTATTAATGTCCGATATACACTGTGGATTCCAGACAGGTGAGCTGTATTCGAGTATTGGACTAGCAAAAGTTTTGTATGCCCTAGTTAGCAATTCCATATTTCCAGAGAAGCTTCATAAGATTAGACTTACAATTCTTAATGTCTTTTGGGCAATATTGTTGCGGTGAGCTCTGGCACTTAGATTGTTTGATATGAGTACTCCAAGGTCCTTGACAGAGTGAGGGTCATCAACGAGGTCATATTCACCTAGCAGTGCAGGAAAGCGGGCGGGGGGAGGGGGGATTGCACATGCATGCACAGGGGGCAGGTGGGGTGCATTGCCTTCTGGGTGCTGGCACGAGAGTGTGTGCACAATTTTTGGCAGAGGAGCCCCAAAAGGTTAGCCATCTTAAAGGTCTTTTCACAATTTGACACAATTTTGGTCTCCTAAATTTAACTTTTGAAATTATCTCCAACTACCTATGGTGTCTGCACCAAATGTCTACCTAGCACATACTGAAAATTGTAACATTCTAAATAATTCAGAAACAAATGAAAAAATGAGAATATAATGATGCACAGAGGCCAAGCTAGAACTGATGCTATCAAAATACTTGAGAAACGGTGCTTGAACAGTCAATCCATTGTTGATGATATACAGAGGAAACTATAGATTACTCCTTTCCCCAGAATCTATTACATCCACCTGACATCATTTAAACTTAATTTTATCGGCAGTACCCATTTTTTGTAATGCCACTTGGCACTGACAGGAGCTTGCTTTCCAGACAAGGAATGCATGTTGCTCTGTTTCTGCACAATGTTCTCAAGTGAGGATTGGCTTGAGATCTTGTGGGCAGGCAGACTTATTCCCAAACCACTCCCTTTCTGCGACATAGAAATGTTTTGAACCTTAAAACATGGATGGCTAAGATGGAAGCTAAGTATGGGGGCTGAATAAAAGAGTTATAATATAAAATATAAATATCTAAAAGACAGATAAAAATGCAAGAACGCTAGCAGGGAACATCAAATAGCACTTTATTCTAAGAAATAACAAAGAAGCCTAACTGGGAATTACGTGTTAAGTTTAATTTCAGTTTCTGAGTGTGCCTAAATCTATTATTTTGTCTCTGATAATCATTTATTTTCTCGGTACAAACCGATTAACTCCATGTTTTATCACTTGGAATTCCTTTACAGTAGAGGTTTCTCCAGGAACCATTAGCAAGTTTGTGGTTTAAACCACTGCAATGGGGTATCCACCACTCCTGAAGGCCATTCAAAAGCCATTACTGGCCCAGAATGAAGCAACACATGTAGCAACAGGCAAGCCTAGCTGTGCCCCTGAAACATGTTTTGTGCGCTGCACTGGTTGCTAATAAGCTTTCAGGAACAAGTGAAGAGACTAGCGGATACCTTATAAAGCCCTACATAGTGTATCTGACAGACTGTCTGACCTCTCATAATATTTACAATCAGAGTTGGCATACTTTAGATCCTATTAACAAAGCAATGTCCTCTCATGCAACCCAGGAAGCAGGGTGACTATGCCTTTTTAATATTATACTGGTCATTTTTTTGTTTTTAGTTATGTAAAGCTGCTTATGTTTGTGTAATTGAGAGGCCTAGATGAATAATAACAAAATTATTCCACTGAATCAACATTCCTATAAAAGAGAGAAAAAAATTCCAGCAGGCTTAAAATTGATAAAGCTAAAGATATATATATATATATAAAACAAACATTACTACTTGCATGACATGGAGTTAAAAATACAACACAAAAATAAAACATCTAGTATGTTTTCCATCCTTTTGGGGGGGGGGGAGATCAGCACATAGCATTGTAGTGTAATTTTCAGCAAAAACAGGAAGGATAAAACACAGCAACCACAGCTGTTAGTCAGGTATGATTTAGGAAAAATGCTACTTCTCCCCAATCTTCAATCTTTACTGCTGGGTTGGACTGCAACAACCTTGTCTATGGAGATTCTCAGACATCCAGGTCATGCTTGTCCCAAAGATGTTTTTTTTCCCCAAGAGGCAAAAAAAAAAAAAAAGTCCAGTTGCCTCTAGGGGAAAAAAAATCACTTTTGGGACAGCCTTGTAAGGACCATAATCTCCTGGAGATCCATAGAAAACACCTAGGGGAAGTTCATTTCAAAATTATAATTAAAAAAGAAAATACCAAGCCCGAGATGGAAAATATTCAAACAAAAGCCAGAATACATCCTTGCTTCTGGAATTAAGATGACAGCCAGTTAGGTCTTTCCTTGTAAAAGGAAGAGGAAAGGAAGGAATTGTTTCCACAGGTTCAACATATTTTATATTGAAATGGTACAGGGTCTCCTGCATGAGCAGGGGGGGCTGGACTAAATGACCTCCAAGAGCCCTCTCCCAGCTCTATTCTGATTCATAACAAAAATACAGAGCGGCATAGCAAGATCTAATGCACCTTCGGTTTGATATGTTTAATCTCCATCCCCCCCTCATACTAACCTTAACTGGACCACAAGAAATCCTTTGCACGACACACTTAACCCTTCTTAAACTAACCACGGTTTAGGCCCTTATCCCCGTTTTCCGGTCGGCCCGATGGGCAGGCCGAGTTGCTCTTGTGGCCTAAGATGGTGCGGTGCGAATGAAGGGCTTCGAGGGAGGGAAAAGCAGCAAAGAAAAGTCCGGGGAGGATGACGGGTCTTTTTCAGCAGGCCCGCTCGGCCTGACTCGAGGTGGCCGAGCGAGGCGACCAAAGGGGAAGCGGCCCTTCAGTCCCCTCAGAATACCCGGAGAGCGGTTTGGGGGGGCTCGGCCTTCGTAGGTCGAGAGGCTCCGGGAGGCTGAAACGACCAAGAAGGGAAGTCACTCACCAGAGTTGTTGCCGCCGCCGCGGCCTCTTGAGGCTCTTCCCGGCCTGAGGCCCCGCGGGAAGGGCCAGCTCGAGCATGAGGGGCCGGGGCTCCCCCTCCCGCCCACCTCTCCGTTTCTCCTCTGGCGGGGCCGGTGCCGCTTCTTCGGCCCGGGGCAGGAGGGAGGAAAAAGAAGGAGCCGGAGGAAGGTGGTGGTGGGGGGAAAATGTCACTTCAGAAAGGAGGCCGCTGGGATCGCCTCAGCTCGAGCCTTCCGACGCCACTTCCGGCAGCAACAGAGGCGCTACCTGACACAGGAAGTACGCCAGGGAGGAAAGCGGTGCGCGAGGCCGGAAAGAACGGCTGAGGGCGTGACGCGGCGTCCTGGCCGCGCCACCTGGCGGCTCCCGGCCGCTCCTGCAAACGGCGGAAGGCAATTGGGCGGGAAAGAGAGGGGAAAAAGGGGCGGCACCTTTGCTATGCTTCCAACGGTCGCCGCGTTCGAAGGGCGGCGCGCGGACTATTCGGGCCTGAACCGACTGCGCATGTGCGCTAGGGAGGAAGGAAGGAAAGAAGGCAGCAGGATTAACCCCTTCTTTCCTTCCTAGACTGTTTTTTTTTTTTATACTTGATCCGGATTTAGGGGTTATGTGAACAAGGTTATTAGCCTGCGACCACGTTGCAAAAAAAGAAAAAAAGAAAAAGGGAGTAAACTACTAGATGGAGATAAATCTTGCATGCAGGACCAATGTGGATACTGCTCAGCTGTATTGCTTGGGACCAGTCAACATGGCAGTGCTACAATTCCCATGCACCCTGGAGCAGTCAACATGGCAGCGCTACAATTCCCGCGTACCCAGGAGCAGTCAACATGGCAGCACTACAATTCCCACGCACCCAGGACCAGCCTACATGGCAGCGCTACAATTCCCGTGCACCCAGGACCAGCCTACATGGCAGCGCTACAATTCCCATGCACCCAGGACCAGCCTACATGGCAGCGCTACAATTCTCACGCACTTTAGGACCAGCCTACATGGCCGGACTACAATTCCCACGCACCTTGGAGCCAGCCTACCCAAGATGCAATGGGAGTCGTGGCTTAAAACACTTGAATAGCACCAGCTGGAGAGTTCCCAGCATTTTCCAAAAGAACAAAATCTTGCTTGAGAATCACTACCAAAGGGGTGTGTGTGTGTGTCAAAAAATCAAGATGGCAGCCTTAACCATGCATTTAGAACCCTGATACCTAATTTGTTAAATGGTTGGGGCCGCCATTTTGACTTTTTTTTGGACCATCCTGCTTTGGGGATTGTCTAGGCAGCCAACAATATAAGCATGTGCAATTAGTCCTCAACCTACAAATGAATTTAAGATTCAATTTATGATTGAGTCCAGTATTATAGTCATAAGTCATTGACAATGGTTAAGCGGGTGACTTAACAATGGTTAAGCAGGTGACTTAGGTCACATGACTGCACTTGATTTTACAAACTTTTTTGCAGTGGTTATTAAGCAAACCCATTGTCCACCATAGGCTTTTTTTTTAAAAAAAAAGGTTTTTTGCTGGAAACTTTAAGTAATGTTGACTTCCTGCAAAAATGTCATAAACTGGTCATATGACCATGGGATTCTGCAAATGGCCATAAATGCAAGCTGGTTTCCTGGTGCCCAAAATGCAGTTAGATGACCAAGGTGTGTGTGTGTGTGTGTGTGTGTGTGTGTGTGTGTTGTAAGCAATCTTTGGAGCTTGGAATCTGGATTGCATCTTTCAAAGAATTTTGAAATCATAACAAAGGGCTCATCTTGGAATTAGGAAAGTTTGTGAAAGGAATTGCTTTAGGTTTTATACAATTTTATCTTTAATAATGTAAGCCGTTCAGAGGTACCGAGTGGTAAGATGGGCCGCTAATAAATTTTATAAATAAATAGTCCTTTATTGTCAGTAATGAGATAGTTATTTATTCTGTGAGTTATATACAATAATATTTTACAACACACAATTGGGTAATGGCCTAACCCAACTGCTTGTGCAAATGCATATGTTAACATTTTTATTCAGCAAGACTGAATACTACATACTAGTCCCAGAAAGAAAAATAAATTTATATATAGTATGGTATGTTCCGTTAAGGGAAGAGAGAAACCAGCAGTCACAACACCCACAATTGTTCCCTTTCTCCATGCGCCAAAATGATTACACAAATGGTCGTTTGGTAGGCAAAGTCATGGAGAGTGCCGTCATATCCAGCTTTTTTGAAAACTCGGCCTCCAGAGCTTCCTGCAAAGGGTAAAAGAGGCTCCATAAGATGATTTCTCTTTAGTATTTTTTTTTATTCATAAACATTTTGAATAAAATGTATTGTCAGGGCATATCATTTACCAAAAACCAAAGAAAGAACAAAAAGAAATATTAACATATCTGCTAATAACAATAATAATAATAGTATAACAATAGTTTTAACTACATTTTTATATTAGCTTATTTGTAATTCTGTTGGTTACATTGGCATATTTATAGTTATAAACCATCTATATATTCACACATAGCAATAATCTTCCTTCATCTAATTTTTACCTCTTATCTCTAACCACTCGTAAAATCTGTCCCATGTTGAGTAATATTCTGTGTCGTCTTTGTCCTTTATTTTTAATGTCAATCTATCCATCTCTGCACAGTCTAGTACAGTGGTGGCTAACCTTTTTGGACTCCTGTCCCAAAAATTGTGTACATGCGCTTGCACGCTTGCGTGCCAGCACCCAGAAGGCAATGTGTGCGCCTCCACGCACCTACGCATGCGCGCACAATCCCCACCCCCACTGCCCCCTTACCTGCACTGCGCCTCACAGCTGATTTTCGGCTGGTTTTGGGCCTTTTTCGGCCTCCCAGAGGCTTGAGGAAGGCTTCTGCAGGCTTTGCAGGCCGAAAACTAGCCCCGTTTCATCACTTCTGGTATTTTCGGAAAAACAGGAACTAGACGAAACAGGGCTAGTTTTCGGCCTGTACAGCCTGCAGAAGCCTTCCTCAAGCCTTTGGGAGACCGAAAAAGGCCTCAAACCAGCCGAAAATCAGCTGTGAGGCATGCATGTGCTGTGAGGTAAGATTGCCTGCAGCTCACATGCTGGCACAAATGGCTCTGCGTGTCACCTGTGCCATAGGTTCGCCATCACGGGTCTAGTATTTTCCGAATTACGTCCTCATCTGATGGGGTCTTCTCATTTTTCCAATACTGTGCAAATACAGTACAATCCTTGCTGCTGTCAATACATGCAAAACTAGATATATAGTCCCTTTATCACAGCCCTCCGGCATTATACCCAACAAAAATATTCCTGCTTTCAGATCTACATGTTGCTCAATCAACCATGCTGTATTTTCTTACTTTCACACAAGTTCACCACATATGATAATAAGCACTTAGGATTACACTTCCAAACCTTGGCGGACATATTACTAAACATGTTTTGCTAATCTTCCATAAGACGATTTGTATTAAAGGAAAACAGCTTTTTCTTCAAAACGAAGAATACAGGTTGTCCTCGACTTACAACCACATTTCTGTTGCTCAGCCAGATCGCCATTCAATGAGTTTTGCCCCCTTTCTTGCCATCGCTGTTCAGCGAATCACTTTCACATCAGTTGTTAAGTTAGTGACACAGTTGTTAAGTGAAACTGGCTCCCCATTTGACATGGCTGGTCAGAAGGTCGAAAAAAAGGGGGAACACCTGACCCCAGGACATGAGAACCGTCATAAATATGAATCAGTGGCCAAGTGCCCACATTTTGATCACGTGACCCTGGGGATGCTACAACGGTTGTAAGTGTGAAAAAATATTTCGAGTCAAGTTTCTCAGTGCTGTTGTAACTTTGAATGGTCACTAAATGAACTCTTGTAAGTCAAGGATTACCTGTACAGACTTGGGACTAAACAATGCCCTTCTATATATCACTTCTGCTAGACTGAAATCAGCATCCATGTTAGCCCCGATTTCAGCTTAATGTCAAGGAAAAGACCTACCAGCTCCCTCTTGGCTTCTTCAATCTTCACTCGAGCAAGAGAAGGATTCTGAAAAGAAGAGGAAGACCACAGCAATAACACTTAAGACTTATATACCACTTTGCCCTCTCTAAGTGGTTTACAAATTCTTGCCCCCAACGATCTGGGTCCTCATTTTACCGACCTTGGAAGGCTGAGTTGGTCAGGATCGAACCCCTGGCAGTGGGCAGAGTTAGCCTGCAATGTTGCATCCTAAGCACTTTGCCACCATGACAAGGAAGGAAGGAAGGAAGGAAGGAAGGAAAAAAGGGAAGGAAGGAAGGAAGGAAGGAAGGAGTCAGGATTCCGGCAGTTACCCCAAGTAAATCATGAGAAATGTTTTATGAGTTGGTGGATGGAAGAAAGGAAGGGAGGGAGGGAGGAAGGGGAGGGAGGGAGGAAGGAAAGAAAGAAGGAAAAAAAGAAGAGTAGCAATAGCAGTTATATGTCGCTCCATAGTGCTTTGTGGCACTCTGGGCAGTTTCCAATGTCAGCATATTGCCCCAATAATCTGGATCCTCATTTTACCCCCTCAGACAGATGGAAGGCTGAGTCAACCTTGAGCCTGGTGAGGCTCGATCTGCCAAATTGCAGGCAGCCAGCAGTCAGCAGAAGTAGCCTGCAGTACTGCACTCTAACCACTGCACCACCGTGACTCATTGCATAGCTGTAATGCCGCACGCAGGATTCCCTCCAGACATCCAACATGCCACAGAGAGGGCATCCCTCCCAAATATTCCACTGCATGGCATAAATACCCAACACTCTGGCACAATGTTTCTCAATTTTGAGATGTGTAGACTTCAGTTCCCAGAATTCCCTGGGGCAGCTGTGCCATCCCAGAATTCATGCTGCTGTCCCTCCTTTTTCTGCTTCTGTATTCCACTCTCCTTAAACCCAGTTCCCCTAATGCAGGGGCCCCCAACCCCTGGTCTGTGGACTGGGACGGGGCCGCGGCGTGCCAGAAACCGAGCCACACAAACCAGTGAAGCCCCATCCGTGGGATTCAGTCAGCCCGTGAAACCACCTTCCCGTCTGTGGAAAATCCTTTCTTTGATCCCTGGTGCCTAAAAGACTGCAGGGGGGTGGCTACCTTAGTCCATCCATTGGTGGGCTGCTACCGGTTCTTCTGAACCGGTACGAACAACCATCAGTTGGCCCCACCCACCCACACCCTGTCCCAGGGGCCGCCAACCTTTTGGACCTCGGGGACCACCAAACTCATAATTTTAAATCTCGCGGACCAGAGACCCTGGGAAAATCCCCCCAAAAGTTTGAAGGGAAATTCCCCACCCCGTTTTCCTAAAATGATCGATCGTTCTTTATTTGGGACTACAGGATACCGTCTCCAGCTCTGTTCTCAGGAGGGGGGAGAGAGAGAGAGAGAGAGACTTTTGGCTTCATGCAAGGAAAGCAGCAGAAGCAGCAGAAGTCTTTTTCTCTCTCCCCCAAACTCCACCAGAAATGAGTCTTCACAGCCTCTTGGAGCAGGAGGCCTTGCAGGGTCCCAAAGGCTCATTTCTGGTGGAGTTTGGGGGAGAGAAAGAAAGACTTTTGCTGCTTTCCTTGCATGAAGCCAAAAGCAGAAGAAGAAAGAAGCAGAAACAAGCAGCCCGGTGGCCAAGCCAGGCACGCGGGGTGAGTGGGGCAAGTTCCTCCCTTCCGCCCTTTCCCCGCCTCCCCTCACTACTTTGTATTGTTCGCAATGCAAGCAACGCAAGCCTTGTGTTCCCGCTGGCCATGTGGGCGGCGCAGCCTGGATTCATTGCTTTGTGGGTGATATTTCTCTGTGGACCACCAACATTTTCTCACGGACCACCAGTGGTCCTCGGCCCACTGGTTAGCAACCACTGCCCTATCCTGTCTTACATTTCCTTCTTTTGCAGCTCAGCTGATTCGCGCGGCAAAGTAGATTACCGCAGCTCAGCTGTTCTCCTTGCCGGGGAAGGCTAGAAGGCGAGCTGGAGAGATTCAAATTGCTGTATGCACGTGCGAAACACGCGCTCCCAAAGCCGGTTGTTAAACCGGTTGCAGTCCACCATTGAGTCCACCCTTATCTCCTTTCTATTCTGGCCTCACTTTTTAGTGTCCACAAAATGGGTGCAGGACACCTTTTCTACAAAAGACAAGCTCAGGAAGAAGGGGAGGGAGGAAGAGAATTACCGGTGTGAGATCCAGATAAGACTCGATTTTCTTCTGTAAAGGAATGGACTGGTTCTTCAAGTCTGCCAGTTTCTGTGGAAATAATTATTTAATTTCATTTTGATTTTTTTTTTTGGTTTTGTTTCGTTTCAATCTGAATGACAGATAGTCCTCAACATACGACCACAACTGAGCCCAAAGCTTTTATTGCTAAGCAAATGGACTTGTTAAATAGGTTTTGGCCCATTTTGCGACTTTTCTTGCCACCTTCGTTCGGTGAATCGCTGCCGTTCTTAAGTTAGTAACGCTGCTGTAAAGCCAACCTGGTTTTCCCACAAAAGCGAATCAACATTACTGCGGTTATGAATTAGAAAACCTTTGCGTTCCGTTTGGCTTTTTTGTTTTTAATTTTTCCATCCAATTATTTTCTTTCTTTCTCTCCCTCCCTCTCTCTCTCCATCCCTTCTTCTCTTTTCTGTTTCTGTGTTTCTCCCTCCCTCTTTCCCCTCCCTCTCCCTCCATTTTCTCCCCTCTTTCCCCTCTCCATTTCTACCTTTTCTCCCTTTCCCTCCTTCCTTTTCTCTCCCTCCCCCTCCCCCTCTCTCCTTTCCTTCTCATTCCCTCCCTCCTCCTCCTCCCCCTCCCTTCCTCTCTTTCTCATTTCACTGCAGGCCTTGGCACATCAGATGCTGGAATCCTGGCCGTCTGAGAGAGGCTTTGAAGAGCTTAATCACAGCAGATACAGATCCCCGGTCTACGTGGCTGAATTATCACTTCCTCCAGCTGCCCAGGTAAAATGCCAGCCGGCTGGTCTCATCCTGTAACGTCCGTGGTGTCCCACCCACCTCTGAGAGGGCCACCAGTGATCGATGTGTCAGGGAAGCATCCAGCCCACTCGCAGACAGCTGGTCCTGCAGGGGGAAAAGAAAGAGAGAGAGGAAGAGAGAGAGAGAGAGAGAAGAGACAGCAGGTGGGATGAGAAAACTAGACTAAAAGCACCCAGAATTACTCATAGAAAATGAATACACACACACACACACACAGATGAAACCTAGCTTCCTAACAAATGATAGCCATCCATTTACTCGGAGCCAAGCTTCACTAAAGGCCTCCAATAAAGGAACACAATGTTGCCAGCCAACCAAGACACAAAAAGAGCCACAAAACAGACAGAAGATATTAGAAACACCAATCAGGCAGAACACAGCAAACTCCAAGACCAATAAAAACAGACCAAGACTCCCAACCAATCAGGTTGAAGAAAAAACCATTCTGGCACAGCAGTAGGCTAGCCCCAAATTTAAAACTGAAGCAACTGTAAAAGTCTGACTCATAGACGAACCCAATACAGAAGCCTGATGATGGCAGATGAGATTCTGCTGAAATGTTGCTACAACTTTAAAAGCACAATTACAATGACGTGGGAAAATATCCATATAAAGCTGAATGCCATACATGCAAGTACCCGCGAAAAATTAAGAAAATATACATACATACATGCATACATATATATGTATATATAAAAGCCCCTTCCATCCTTTCCTATCAGAATGGGAAAAAGCAGCAAAGTCTGCTGTAAGAAGCCGCTTTTGATCCAATCAAAAAACTGGCTAGAGAAACGCAATTAGTCCTCAAGTTACAACAGTTTGTTTAGTGACCGCTCAAAATTACAACAGTGCTGGAAAAAAGGGACTCACAAATGTTTTTCCACACATACGACCATTGCAGCCTCCCCATGGTCAAAATTCAGATGTTTCTCCACCCAACCGACTCAAGAGTTACGATGCAGGTCATCCTCGACTTACAACCGCCATTGAGAGGGTCACCAGTGATTCCAACCTTTTCGTTGCCGAGTGAGAAATGGTTTCAGTGAGTTTTGCCCCCCATTTTTCTCGCCGTGTTTGTTATAAGTGAATCACTGCCGTACTTACATTAGCAACACGGGTCGTTAAGTGAATTGGGCTTCCCCGTTGACATATGCTTGGTAGGAGGTTGCATGACCCCAGGACAGTGCAACCATCATAAATGTGAGTTGGTTAAGCATCTGAATTTCGATCGTGTGATCCTTGCAATGGTCATTAAGTGTGAAAAATGGACATAAGACACTTTTTTCCAGTGCTGTTCAGAGGTGGTATTCAGCCAGTTTGCACCGGTTTGGGCGTACCGGTAATGAAAACTTTGACTAGTTTGGAGAACCGGCAAATATCACCTCAGTTGGCCCCGCCCACCCACCCCCGCCATTATACCTCTCCTATATTCCCTTGTTTTTTTAGCTCGGCTGATTCGCGTGGCAGAGTGAAGTTTGCCACACCTCAGCTGAGGTAAAAAAAAAAGCTCAGCTTACCATCATTGACAGAGGTCAGTCTTTGAGCCCTCCGTGTGTGCATGCACAAAGTGCGCGCGCGCCTAGAATTGCACACAGAACTGGTAGGAAACAATTCGGAAAACAACTACTGGTGCCATTGTAACTTTGAACAGTCACTAAGCAAACTTATCTGTGAACCTGTTTTCTTCCTTGGTCCAATGGGGCGAGCCTTTATTCTTTCTTTCTTTCTTTCTTTCTTTCTTTCTTTCTTTCTTTCTTTC